CGGGGTCTGGGAGCGGGATTTGGGATTGGGATTGGGATTGGGTTGGGAATTATTGGGATTGGGATTGGGATTGGGATTGGGATTGGGATTGGGACGGGAATTGATTGGGGTTGGGATCTGAATCGGGATCCAGATTGGGATAGCATTGGGATTGGGATGGGAATTGATTGGTGTTGGGATTGGGAATTGGGATTGGGATGGGATTGGGATTGGAATTGATTGGGATTGGGATGGGAATTGATTGGAGTTGGGATGGGAATTGATTGGGATTGGGATCAGGAGTGTAATGGGATTGGGATGGGAATTGGGATCAGGATTGGGATCAGGACTGGAAGGGGATTGGGATTGGGATGGGAATTGGATTGGGATTTGATGGGATCAGGAGTGTAATGGGATTGGGATGGGATTGGGATTGGATTGGGATTAGAATTGGGATCCGGATTGGGATTGGGATCCGAATCGGGATTGGGATGCGAATTGGAATTGGATTGGATTGGGATGGGATTGGGATGGGACTGGGATTGGGATCAGGATTGGGATCAGGACTGGGATGGGATTGGGATTTGATGGCACTGGGATTGGGATTGGGATGGGAATTGGGATTTGGATTGAGTTTGGGATGGGACTGGGATGGGAATTGAGATTGGGATGGGAATTGAGATTGGAATGGGACTGGGATGGGAATTGGATTGATCTTGGGATGGGAATTGGGATTTGGATTGATCTTGGGATGGGAATTGGAATTGATCTTGGGATGAGAACTAGGATTTAAATTACTATTATGACGTGAATTAATCTAGATTTTTCTTCCCACCCCATTTTCCCCAAACCCATTTCCCCCACTCATTCCCCAAAATTCTCACTTTGCCCCCAAACCCCCATTCCGCCCAAACCCCAACTTTTCCCCCAAACCCCAACTTTTCCTTCCAAATCCCCCAAATCCCACTTTCTCCATCCCAAACCCCAATTTTCTTCCCAAACCCCATTTCCCCAAAATCCCCCAAACCCCTATTTTTCCCAAAGCCCCCATTTCCCCCAAAATCCCATTTCCCCAAAACCCCCAAACCCACTATTTTCCCCCAAACCCCCTATTCCCCCAAATCCCATTTTCCCCTCCCCCTCCTTTTCCCCCAAGCCCCAACTTTTCCTCCCCAAACCCACTTTTCCCCAAAACCCCACTTTTCCCCCAAAACCCCACTTTTCCTCCAAAACCTCCTGTTTTCCCAAATTTCCCTTTTCCCCCAAGCCCCATATTTTTCCCAAAACCCCCATTTCCCCCAAAATCCCATTTTCCCCAAAATCCCCCAAACCCACTTTTCCTCTCTCCCCTCAACTTTTCCCCAAACCCCAACTTTTCCCCCTCCCCCCAACTTTCCCCTAAAATCCATTTTCCCCATAAGTCCCCCAAACCATTTTTCCCCCAAACCATCTTCCCCCCAAATTTCCCCCTTTTCCCCCAAATTCCCAACTTTTCCCCCAATCCCATTTTCTCTCTCCCCCTCCAACTTTTCCCCCAAACCCCAACTTTTCCCCCAAAACCCCACTATTTTTCCCCCAAACTCCCACTTTTTCCCCAAATTCCACATTTTCCCCCAAACCCACTATTCCCCTAAAGCCCCAACTTTCCCCCAAACCCCACTATTTTTCCCCAAGCCCAACTTCCCCTAAAATCCCCCAAAATCCCAACTTTTCCCCCAAAACCCAACTTTTCCCCCAAAATCTCCCCAAACCCCATTTTCCCCCAACTCCAACTTTTCCCAAAACCCCATTTTCTCCCAAACTCCCCATTTCCCCCAAAACCCCATTTCCCCCAAAACCCCATTTCCCCCCCAAATTCCCAACTTTTCCCCCCAAACCCCCCATTTCCCCCCAAGCCCCCAACTTTTCCCCAAAATCCCCCAAAATCCATTTTCCCGAAATCCCACTTGCCCCCAAAATCCTGTTTTCCCCCAAATCCCCAACTTTTCCCCAAATTCCCCCAAATCCCATTTTCCCCCAAACTCCCAACTTTCCCCCCAAACCCCATTTTCCCCCAAACCCCAACTTTTTCCCCAAAACCCCACTGTTTTCCCCCAAACCCCACTTTTTCCCCTAAAATCCCATTTTCCCCAAAATCCCCCCAAACCCCACTATTTTCCCCCCAAACCCACTTTTCCCCAAAATCCCCCCAGATCCCAACTTTCCCAAAACCCCTGATTTCCAATTCAACTTTCCAAACTCATTTCCCCCAAACCCCAAACCCACTATTTTCCCCCAAACCCCATTTCCCCAAAATCCCCAAAACCCACTTTTCCCCAAACCCCTATTTCCCCCAAACCAACTTTTCCCCCAAATCCCCCAAAATCCCATTTCCCCCAAATCCACTTTTCCCCCAAAATCCCCCAAACCCCATTTTCCCCTCCCCTCAACTTTTCCCCTCCCCCCAACTTTTCCCCCAAACTCCATTTTCCCCAAAACCCACTGTTTTTCTCCCCCAACATTTTCCCCCAAACCCCACTGTTTTTCCCCTAAACCACATTTTCCCCCAAAATCCCCCAAAATCCCATTTTCCCTAAATCCCCATTTCCCCAAAATCCCCCAAACCCCACTATTTTTCCCCAAACCCCAACTTTTCCCCCAAATCCCACTGTTTTCCCCAAATCCCACTTTTCCCCCTAAACCTCATTTTCCCCCAAAATCCCCCAAAATCCCATTTTCCCCCAAATCCCACTTTTTCCCCAAAAATCCCCCAAAATCCCATTTTCCCCCAAACCCCCATTTCCCCCAAAATCCCATTTTCCCCCAAACCCCAACTTTTTCCCCAAAACCCACTGTTTTTCCCAAATTTCCACTTTTCCCCCAAATCCCCCTTTCCCCCAAAACCCCCATTCCCCCAAAACCCCAACTTTTCCCCCAAACTCCCCCCCAAACCCCACTTTTCCCCCTAAACCCCACTATTTTCTCCCAAAACCCCCATTTCCCCCAAATCCCATTTTCCCCAAAATCCCCCAAATTCCCAATCCTTTCCCCCAAAATCCCCCATTTCCCCCAAACTCCATTTCCCCCAAATCCCATTTTCCCTCTCCCCTCAACTTTTCCCCTCAAACCCCAACTTTTTCCCTCCTCCAACTTTTCCCCCTCCTCCTCCAACTTTCTCCCCCAAACTCCCAACTTTTCTCCCCAAACTCCCCATTTTCTCCCCAAATTCCCAACTTTTCCCCCCAAAATCCCCCAAACCCCCACTATTTTCCCCAAAATTCCCCATTTTCCCCCAAATCCTCCCAAACCTCACTTTTCCCCAAAAATTCCCATTTTCCCAGCTCCATGGACGTCCCCCGCCTCCCCTCCCCCCCTGGCGACCAAAGCGGAGGGTCGGGGTCAGTGCCGCCCCGAAATGCTCGTGCTGAGCCGCCCCCTTTGGCCCGCTCCTCCCCGCCTACTGCACCAGCAGCTCCGACCTCACCGAGCCCGACGGCGGCGTCACGAGTGGGCGTGGGGGGCTCCCCACGAGTGGGGTGGGGGTCCCCTCACACCCCCCACCCTCCTCCTCCTCGCTGGGCGGGGTGGGCAAAAGCATCTCCATGCTGGACCTGCAGGACGGCCGCGTGGACAGCGTGCCCGCCGAGCTCCTGAGGGGGCCCCCACGCAGGTCACGGGTGGGTTTGGGGGCGTGGGGGGGGCGTGGGTTTGGGGTTTAGGCACGGGCGGCTCTCGCAGGGCAGCGCTTCCAGTTTGGCCCCTCCTCCTTCTGGTCCCACCCCCACGCAGCGTTTGGGGGTCCCCACGGAGGGCACGGGTGGGGTGGGGGCACCCCACGCGCAACTGAGGGTCCCGCTCTCCTTCCAGAACCCGCTCTTCCACCTGGCGGCCGACGGGCCCCTGCGCGGCGTGGGGGGCGGGGATCCCGCGGGGGAGGGAGGGGTTTATTCCCATCACCACGCCCACTCCCACCACGCCCCCCACTCCCACGGTCACGCCCCCCCCTTGCACGGCTACAGCAAGAGCGAGGAGCTCGTGGGGGGACCCCCACCCGTGACCTCCACCAAGCACATCACGCACAGCCACAGCTACAGCGATGAGTTTGGGCGACCCACGGGGGGTCGCGGTCGCGAGTGGGGGGTCCTCGGGGGGTCCGGATTTTGGGAGGAGGCAGCTCTCCCTGCAGGACACGCTGGCCCCTCCCACGCAACAGCAACAACAACCCACGCAACAATCCACGCAACAATCACAGCAGCCCCCACCCCAAATCACCATCGGCGCGCCCCCCACGCCGCGCGGGGGGAGGGCGTCCAAAAGCGCGAGTGGGGGTGGGGGAGGGGGATCAGGAGGGGAGGGGGTCTGGGCGTGCCCCCAAACCCCGCCCGGCCAGCGGGAACCTCCTGGCGTCCCCGAGCCCACGTACGGCGTGGGAGTGGGAGTGGGTGGGGTGGGAGTGGGGGCGTGGGGGTCCCCAGGCGACCCACGGGCCGCGGTCGCGGCAGCCCTCGCTGGCCAAGGAGGCGTCGCTGGTGGGGAGCGGCGGCAAGGCGGCCGGCGGCAAGCAGGTGAGGGGAGGGGGACACGCGTGGGAGGGGGTTTGGGGGTAAGGGGTTGGGGACACGCGTGGGGAGGGGGTTTGGGGGTGTTTGAGGGGATACGGGGGGTGTGAGGGATGAGAGGGCGTGGGGACACGAGGGGTTGGGGACATTGGGGTGTGGGAACACGGGGGGTTGGGGACACGTGGGGAGGGGTTTGGGGGTGAGAGGGGTGAGGGGACACGGGGGCATTGAGGTAGACGCGTGGGGGCTTTTTGGGGGTTTAGGGGGACACGGGAGGCAGTGGGGGCGTTGGGGACACGCGTGGGGAGGGTTTGGGGGGTTTTGGGAGGGGGTTGGGGGACGTTGGGGGAGGTTTGGGGGTTTGGGGACACGCGTGGGGGAGGGGTTTGGGGGTGTTTGGAGGCGTTGGGGAAGGTTTGGGGGCTTTGAGGACGTTGAGGGGTTGGGAGACTACGGGGGACACGCGTGGGGGTTGGGAGACACGTGGGGGGTTGGGGGGTGTTTGGGGACATGGGGACACTCGTGGGGGAGTTGGGGACACGCGTGGGGAGGGGGTTTGAGGGGTTTGGGGGTTTGGGACACAGGGGGCGTTGGGGTAACGCGTGGGGGGCTTTTTGGGGGTTTTGAGGGGTAAGGGGGTTTGGGGACATTGGGGAGTGTGGGGGACACGGAGACACGCGTGGGAGGGGGTTTGGGGGTTTTGGGGGTGAGGGGGAGAAGAGGACGCGCGGGGGGACGTTTGGGGGACGTTTGGGGGTTTGGGGACACGGGGACACGCGTGGGTGGGGTTTGGGGGCATTGGGGTGTTGGGGACACGCGTGGGAGGGGTTTTGGGGACATTGGGGGTGTGGGGACACGGGAGGGGTTGGGGACACGCGCGGGAGGGGGTTTGGGGGGTTTGGGGACACGCGTTGGGGACACGCGTGGAGAGGTTTGGGGGTGAGGGGGTGTGGGGAGAAGGGGCACGTGGGAGGGGGTTTGGGGGCTTTGGGGGTGTTTGGGGTGTTTGGGGACACGTTTGGGGGTGTTTGGTGGCGTGGGGGCACTGGGGGTTGGGGACACGCGTGGGAGGGGTTGGGGGTTTGGGGGGTTTGGGGGATGAGAGGGGCGTTGGGGACACGCGTGGGGAGGGTTTGGGGGTCTGGGGACATTGGGGAGTGTGGGGACACGGGGAGGGGTTGGGGACACGCGTGGGGCGCGGACGCGTGGGGAGGAGGCTGGGGAGTTTTGGAGGGTTTGGGGGGTTTGGGAACACGGGGGACACGCGTGGGAGGGGACACGTGGGGAGGGGAAGGGATACGCGTGGGGCGCGGGACGCGTGGGGAGGAGGTTGGGGGGTTTTGGGGGGTGTTTGGGGGTGTTTTGGGGGATACGGGGGTTTGGGGGTGTGGGGGACACTCGTGGGGGTTGGGGACACGCGTGGGGAGGGGGTTTGGGGGTGAGGGGGTGTGGGGAGAAGGGGACGCGTGGGGAGGGGGATACGCGTGGGGAGGGTTTGGGGGTTTTGGGGGTGTGGGAGGGACACGCGTGGGGGCGTTGGGGACACGCGTGGGGAGGTGTTTGGGGGCGTTGGGGAGGTTTGGGGGGTTGGGGATGGATACGCGTGGGGGACGTTGGGGTTGGGGGAGGTTGGGGACACGGGGGGACACTCGTGGGGTTGGGGACACTCGTGGGGGGCTGGACACTCGTGGGGGTTGGGGACACGCGTGGGAGGGCTTTAGGGGCACTCGGGGGTTGGGGACATTGGGGGGTTTGGGGACACCTGTGGGGTTTGGGGACACGCGTGGGAGGGGTTTTGGGGCACTCGGGGGGCTGGGGACATTGGGGGTTTGGGGACACTCGTGAGGGGTTGGGGACACGCGTGGGGAGGGCTTTGAGGGCACTCGGGGGTTGGGGACATTGGGGGTGGGGGACATGCGGGGGGTTGGGGACACGCTGGGGGGTTTGGGGGGACATTGGGGGCATTGGGGACACGGGGACACGCGTGGGGGTTTTGGGGGTGTTTGGGGACATAGGGACACCCGTGGGGGAGGGGGACACGCGTGGGGAGGGGGTTTGAGGGGTTTGGGGGTGTGGTGGGGAGAAGAGGACACGCGTGGGGACGTTTGGGGACATTGGGGGTTTGGGGACACTCGTGGGGGTTGGGGACACGCGTGGGGAGGGGGTTTGGGGGTGAAGGGGACACGGGGTGGGGTGTGGAGAGACACGGAGGTTTGGGGGACACTGTGGGGAGCTAGGGACACTGTGGGGGGTTGGGGACACGCGTGGGGAGGGGCTTTGGGGGTTTGGGGGTTGGGGGAGGCTTGGGGGGTTTGGGGGCGTGTGGGGGTTTGGGGCGTTGGGGGTTGGGGGACACGCGTGGGGGTGGGGTGAGACACTGGGGGTTAGGGGACACGCGTGGGGGTTGGGGACACGCGTGGGGAGGGGGTTTGGGGGTGAGGGGTGAGGGGGACAAGAGGGGGTTGGGGACACGCGTGGGAGGGGGCTTGGGGGTTTGAGGGGTGTTTGGGGCGCTGGGAAGGGTTGGGGGACACGGGGACGTGGGGACACGCGTGGGGGTTGGGGGACACGCGTGGGAGGGGGTTTGGGGACGTGGGGGACACGGGGGTGTGGGGGACACGGGGGCTTTGGGGACATTGGGGGTGTGGGGACACTCGTGGGGGTTTGGGGACACGCGTGGGGAGGGGTTTGGGGGTTTTGGGGGCGTTGGGGAGGTTTGGGGGGTCGGGGACACGCGTGGAGGTGGGGTTGGGAGACACTGGGGGCGTGGGGACACGGGGGACACGCGTGGGGGTTTGAGGGACACGCGGGGGAGGGGCGCTGGGAGGGGTCTGGGGGGGTTTGGGGGAGTTGGGACGCTGGGGCGGTTGGGGACACGCGGGGGTGGGGACACGCGTGGGCTTGGGGACATTGGGGAATGTAGGGGGGACACGGGGGGGTTTGGGGACATTTTGGGGTCACTTTGGGGTCACTTTGAGTGACACTTTGAATGACATTTTGGGGACATTTTGGGGGTCATTTTTGGGGACACTTTGAATGACATTTTGGGGACATTTTGGGGACACTTTGAGTGACATTTTGGGGTCATTTTGAGTGACATTTTGGCGTCATTTTGGTGACATTTTTATGGACATTTTGGGGACATTTTGGGGTCACTTTGGGGACATTTTGGGGTCACTTTGGGGACATTTTGGTGGACACTTTGAGTGACATTTTGGGGTTATTTTGGGGACACTTTGAGTGACATTTTGGGGACATTTTGGGGACATTTTGGGGACATTTTGGGGACATTTTGGGGTCACTTTTGAGGACATTTTGAGGACATTTTGGGGACATTTTGGGGACATTTTGGGGACATTTTGGGGACACTTTTGAGTGACATTTTGGGGTCACTTTGAGTGACATTTTGGGGTCATTTTTGGGGTCATTTTGATGACACTTTGAGTGACACTTTGAGTGACATTTTGGGGACATTTTGGGGACATTTTGGGGACATTTTGGGGTCATTTAGACATTTTGGGGACATTTTGGGGACACCCTTGAGTGACATTTTGGATCAATTCTGAGTACACCAGGCACATCCCTTGAGCTTGACATTTGGGACATTTTGGGGGACATTTGGGGTCATTTTGGATGACACTTGAGCAGACACTCCGAAAAGACACTTTGAGTGACATTTTGGAGGACATCTTTAGAATACACCCTGTATGACGTCCTAGGGACATCTTTGGGTACACTTTGTAGCGACACCTGGGATTACATTTGGAAGTACTTTGAAGATATCTTAGTATCATCCTGGGGACATTTTGGGACACTCTGAAATATCCAGGACATTTTTGACACTCGGTGACATTTTAGAGATCACTTTGGGTGACATTCTGGGGACATTTGCATTAACTTAGGAGATACTCATGACGACATAGGACATTTTCGAGGACTTTGCACAGCTCTTTGGTGACACTTTGAGTGACTTTGGACACTTTGGATACCCTGGGGCATCAGGACATTTTTGAGAATTAGGACCTCATTTTGGGGACATTTTGGGACACTTGGAGACATTCTCCTAGGACACTCCTGAGGTGGCTTTGAGATCATTTCTGGCACTCAAATATTGGATGGACATTTGGGGACACTTTGAGGTGACATTTTGGGGACATTTTGGGGACATTTTGAGGGACATTTTGGGGACATTTTGGGGACACTTTGGGGACATTTTGGGGCCATTTTGGGGACATTTTGAGGGACATTTTGGGGACATTTTTGGAGACATTTTGGGGTCATTTTGGTGACATTTTGGGGACATTTTGGGGACATTTTGGGTGACATTTTGGGGACATTTTGGGGACATTTTGAGTGACATTTTGGGGAGATTTTGAGTGACATTTTGGGGCCATTTTGGGGACACTTTGAGGGACATTTTGGGGACATTTTGGGACATTTGGGACATTTTGGGTGACATTTTGGGGACATTTTGGGGACATTTTGGGGACATTTTGGGGACATTTTGGGGACATTTTGGGGACATTTTGGGGACACTTTGAGTGACATTTTGGGGACATTTTGGGGACATTTTGGGGACATTTTGGGGACATTTTGGGGACATTTTGGGGACATTTTGGGTGACACTTTGGGGACATTTTGAGGACATTTTTGGGGACATTTTGGGGACATTTTGGGGACATTTTGGGGACACTTTGAGTGACATTTTGGGGTCATTTGGGGACATTTGAGGACATTTTGGGGACATTTTGGGGACATTTTGGGGACATTTTGGGGACATTTTGGGGATCACTTTGAGGACATTTTGGGTGACATTTTGGGGACATTTTGGGGACATTTTGGGGACATTTTGGGGACATTTTGGGGTCATCTTTGGGGACATTTTGGGGACATCTTTGGGGACATTTTGGGGACATTTTGGGGACATTTTGGGGACATTTTGGGGACATTTTGGGACATTTTGGGACATTTTGAGTACCTGGACACTTTGGGGACACTTTGGGGGC